TGTACACATAGAGCAGCGGGTGCCTCCATAGCAAGCTGCTTGTTGTGGGGGCACCCGACAGACAGGAGAGCCTGCGGGGGGACCTGAGAAGAGGAGGATCCAGGCTGCTGTGTGGAAAACTTTGCACGCTCCAGTTTTAGCAAATCAACCTCATAGAGAAGGTGATTCTTTGCAGCGGGACAAAGACAGAACAGTATTAAAAACGTTCTCACTCCACCCAAAACTGAAAACAACAAGTCCTAGCGGAGGTCAGGTTTTTAACATTCACTGAGTGGTGGGTAAAACCGAATACGTGACATTGCATTTGCATCGATCCCTCTGTGGTGCTGTAGGGTGCACGGTATGACGTCATCTGCTTTGTATTCCTCTGATTGCAGTGGAGTCATGACGCAGCAGCGCTGTCTCGGCTGGCGGTCGGGACGACGAACGCTCAGTATTAACCAATTGGTGGACATGGAGTGGAAGTTTGGAGGTGAGTTATGTGGACATGATTGCTTAGAATTCTGACTGCCGACCTTCCCTCCAGTCTTGCACAGTTGTACAGGTTCCTCTCCTGGATGGGAATGGAGGCTCAACGTCACATGTGGATTGGTACCTAGGGTGGTCTGCATACAAATACAGATATATACAGGGGCGGACTGACAAACCATGGGCCCCTGGGCAATAGGAGATCATGGGGCCCCTGTGTCCTTGCCAAACTCAAAAAAGACTGTGAAAAGGTACCAGGGGCATCTCATGGGGCCCCCCAATGACCTCGGGCCCTCGGGCAGTGCCCGAGTTTCCAAATGGTCAGTCCGCCCCTGGATATATATATGTGTGTGTGTGTACTTCTAAGCACTGCAGCAAAACTGATTGTCTCCTTGTGCTGCTTCTCCCTTCTCCAGGCTGAGCTCTGCTGTACATTATTATTATTACTATACAGGATTTATATCGCGCCAACAGTTTTACGCAGCAATTTACAACATGCGGGCGGACAGTACGGTTACAATACTATTTAATCCAGTAGGAATCAGAGGGCCCTGCAATCTAAGACTTTGACTGACACAAATTCAGTTACTTTCGCTCTTTGCATTTAAAAATATGTCTAATGTTGTCATATCAACTACAGAGATGGACAAATCCCTCCCTGTATGGAGTGACAATTGTGCGTTGTCACCCTGTCACATGCTCCCCTAGTGGAGACTACGTGCTGTTGGAGGTGCCAACATGAACATTGTGCATGCATGGTCCTCCTATGATGTCATTATCAGGAAGCTGGCCCAATGATAGGCAACCAGTGTTGGAGCGAGTGCATATAGATATGAAGTGGTGCTAGAGACTGGAGGAGATCAGCAGCACTGAGATAAGGAAAGCAACACAGCACAGTGGCTAAATGGTTAGCACTTCCGCCAGCAGTATTCGGGTCGTTGGTTCGAATCCCAACCACGGCATCACCTGCCTGAAGTTTGCATGTTCTCCCTGTGCCTGCGTGGGTTTCCTCCAGGTACTCTGGTTTTCTCCCACACTCTAAAGACATGCTGGTAGGTGAATTGGCTCCTGTCTAAATTGTCCCTAGTATATGTATGTATGAATGTGAGTTAGGGACCTTAGACTGTACGCTCCTTGAGGATTAGAGACCTCAGATTGTACCCCCCTTGAGGGTCAGGGACCTTAGATTGTACGCTCCTTGAGGGTTAGGGACCTTAGATTGTACACCCCTTGAGGATTAGAGACCTCAGATTGTACGCCCCTTGAGGGTTAGGGACCTTAGATTGTACGCCCCTTGAGGGTTAGGGACCTTAGATTGTACCCCCCCCTTGAGGGTTAGGGACCTCAGATTGTACACCCCTTGAGGGTTAGGGACCTTAGATTGTACGCCCCTTGAGGTGTTAGGGACCTTAGATTGTACGCCCTTGAGGTGTTAGGGACCTTAGATTGTACCCCCTTGAGGGTTAGGGACCTTAGATTGTACTCCCCTTGAGGGTTAGGGACCTTAGATTGTACGCCCCTTGAGGGTTAGAGACCTCAGATTAGAGGGTTGTAGATTGTACCCCTTGAGGGTTAGGGACCTTAGATTGTACCCCCCTTGAGGGTTAGGGACCTTAGATTGTACGCCCCTTGAGGGTTAGGGACCTTAGATTGTACGCCCCTTGAGGGTTAGGGACTGATGTGAATGTACAATATATATGTAAAGTGCTGCGTAAATTGACGGCACTATATAAGTACCTGAAATAAATACATAAATAAAACAGTATTTTATGGGGGAAAAGTGTGGCAATACATTCCCCCCCCCCCCCACCCCCAACCTCCCCCCTCTACCTTCAACGTATTCACTTTATTCTTTACACAACTATGTCTGTAAGCCGGGTACATTGTTAGTTGTTTTTATAATTCATATATATAATTCTCTATCTTGTCTCCTGTAGTTACAGCAGCCAGTAGTGAAGTGGAAAAAGCCGGTAGTATTTTCCTGCAGGTAAGTGCCTCCTACCCAGTGGCTGTCTACCTACCCCCCCCCAGAATGTTACCCTGCATGTAGTCATCATTGCCATGTCAGTCGTATCTCCACCAATGATAAATCCGGCAATGCCTGTGGTGCAGCAGAACAGATAACGTGTTCTGTCCCCATCATTAGACGGCATTTAGATTTTTGTTTGCTCTCTCTGACGGTTTTGTATTTCCTCTTAGTTGAAGATGGTTATTAGAAAAGGCAGCAAGTTGGAGCCTGTGTATGTAGGTGAGTCCATTTGTAGTCCATCAAAGACCTATACTTATTATTATACAGGATTTATATATATTATTATTATTATTATACAGGATTTATATATTATTATTATTATACAGGATTTATATATATATTATTATTATTATTACAGGATTTATATATATATTATTATTATACAGGATTTATATATTATTATTATACAGGATTTATATATTATTATTATACAGGATTTATATATTATTATTATTATTATACAGGATTTATATATATATTATTATTATTATACAGGATTATATATTATTATACAGGATTTATATATATATTATTATTATACAGGATTTATATATATATTATTATTATACAGGATTTATATATATATTATTATTATACAGGATTTATATATATATTATTATTATACAGGATTTATATATATATTATTATTATACAGGATTTATATATTATTATTATTATACAGGATTTATATATATATTATTATTATACAGGATTTATATATATATTATTATACAGGATTTATATATTATTATTATTATACAGGATTTATATATTATTATTATTATTATTATTATTATTATACAGGATTTATATATTATTATTATTATACAGGATTTATATATTATTATTATTATACAGGATTTATATATTATTATTATACAGGATTTATATATTATTATTATTATACAGGATTTATATATATATTATTATTATACAGGATTTATATGGTGCCATCAGTTTGCTCAGCACTTTACAATATAAAAGGAGACATTACAATACATTTCAGTACAGAAGGAATAGGAGGGCCCGGCTCGAGGAGCTTACAATTGAGAAATCGGAATGTGTGTATTAAACGTGTATTTATACCGAAGAACAGAAATGATATATATTGCAGCTTACTAGTCCCTAAAGTAGAGCTCCAGTCAAAGAGAATCTTTTTTAAAAAAAAAACAGCCACTCACCTGTCTCATGATGCAGCCCCCGGATCTACAGTGTGGGCACCCGGCTGTGACTGCTTGTGGCTTCAGAGCCGGGTGCCCACTGTGCATGCATGAGTAGCGCTGTGCCTTGTGAATGGTCCTGTAGTCCTCTGGGGCCGGTCACACATCCCAGAAGGCTACGGGGGGGGGGGGGGCAACTTTCACTTACGATCGCCTAGGTGATCGCAGCGGAATTGAGATCGTGTACCCGATGCCAGTTCCATACGGGGAGCGGGGGACCAGTACTTAAAGGGGAACTTTCTCCTTTTGGGTGGAGCTCCGTTTTAACCACTTTTTTCCACTACGCTATAACCGATAAATGGCTACAGGGTGGTGATCACAGATCAGGATAAAGGGCCAATCACAGCAGCCCTTTACCATGTGATCAGCTGGGCTATTCACAGGTGTCACAGTGTAAACAGACTCTATTCCTTTGCTGTGTGTGAGGGAAGGAGAGCTGGGTCTGTGAGGGGCACAGTGAGCTCAGTATTGTACACTTACAGACAGCGCCCTGATTATCTGTGCCTCCTCATCAGTGCAGCTTACCTGTGCCTCCTCATCAGTGCAGCTTACCAGTGCCTTCCTCATCAGTGCAGCTTACCAGTGCCTCTCATCAGTGCAGCTTAGTGCCTCTTCCAGTGCCTCCTCATCAGTGCAGCTTACCAGTGCCTCCTCATCAGTGCAGCTTACCAGTGCCTCCTCATCAGTGCAGCTTACCAGTGCCTCCTCATCAGTGCAGCTTACCAGTGCCTCCTCATCAGTGCAGCTTACCGGTGCCTCCTCATCAGTGCTTCCTCATCAGTGCAGCTTACCGGTGCCTCCTCATCAGTGCTTCCTCATCAGTGCCTCTTATCACTGCCCATCAGCGCACATCAGTGAAGATGAAAAATTACTTATTTGCAAAATGTTATTACAGACTATACTAAGGAAAAAATGGTTTTCAAAATTTTCAGTCTTTTTTTCGTTTGTTTAGCAAAAAAATACAAAACCCCCAGAGGTGACTAAATACCACCAATAGAAAGCTCCATCTGTCGCAAAAAAATGCTAGAAGTTTCATTTAAGCAGAGTTTTGCATGACTGAGTAATTGTCATTCACAGTGTGACAGCTCTGAAATCTGACCATTGTCCTGGGCAGGAAGGAGGTGAAAGTATCTGGTATTGAAGTAGTTAAATGTGGTTGCATTAGTTTTTTTTTTTTTCCTCCCCTGTTGACCCTGCCAGTAACCCAGCTTCCATCCTGGGATGACAACGCTCACACACTGTCAGAGTATCCATAGAGAAGCAGTGTTGTTGTCTTCCTAGGGCAGGTCTACAGACACCTCCCTCTCTTCTCTTCTTCCAGAGGGGAGGGGTTCTGTAGTCCACAGAGAAACCTGGTAATGATGTGACTGAAAAATGTGCAACAGAGGCCGAGAACACAGATATCCGCTCACTTGATTTCTGGCAGGATCAGTAGGTATTTTCTTGCAGTTTTTGAACAGAAGTAACAAACAACTTTCAGTGGTATAGTAACCCTTTAATGCCGGCCATACGTGTGGCAGCACAGCGGTGGGCTTTAACGTGGAGTTGCCACACATGAATACAGCCGGTGTTGCTGTTCTGTGCTGGGAGCATGTTCCCTTACGCATCGGATAGAAAAACCGGGCGACGTTCGGCCCATGTGTACACCCACCTGTCCAACAAAAGCCGGCCAAACGGGCATGTTGGAACACCAGCATCTGATCAGTGGTGGCAGCCAATGCAGTGTACTGGTAGGGGGGTCAATCCGAGAGATCAATGTGCTGACATCAGACAGTACAGCGAGCTCCTCCTGAGCTCTTCAGTTTTTTTTTTTTGTATTTTTTTTTCCAATCAGCCACTGGGTTGAAGAAAAAAAAAACTGACAGTGTGTACCACAGCAGCAGGAGCTATTGGGGCCTGTCTCCGAACCAGAGAGCCCTGCTCCCGGGCACAGAGCCGGATTGACAGATATTTGTCATTTTTCATTTTGTTCAGACTTTCACAGTTCTTCTTTTCTCCCCAGAGCTGACCCTGCCGCAGTTCTACAGTTTTCTGCATGAGATGGAGCGCGCCAAGAGCAGCCTGGAGTGTTTCACGTGAAGAAGCTCCGTAAAAGCGACCTTCACCGGCGGCAGACATTCACCGGCGGCAGACATTCACCGGGTGCTCTGCAGAGTGCAGATAACGCTTTGTTGGACCGTTCTACGGAACACAGGAGATGGATACATGCAGCTGCCCATTGCAACCAATCCCATCCTAGCGTTCCTTCGTTTATTCCGCCGATCGTTCATTACATTTGAAAAGTGAAACCTGGAATTTGGTTGCTGTGCCTAAAACCGCCGCTCTTTTTACTGCTTCATTTCCTATGAACAAATGCGTAGATTCTTCTGATCCACTTTCCCTGGAAAGTTACACCAGAAATAAAAGTTTATACACAGCTTTGTGTCTAATATGTAAAGTTTTTTTTTTTTTGTAATGCCATGAGGTTGTATGATGACATGGAAATCAACAAAAGTTAAAGGGACACGGTCAGCTTGCCCATGCAGAGACCCCCTCCTGCCTTCCTGTATATGCAATTTGCCTGCCCTCCTATCCTGCCCTTTCCTCCATTGTAGCTGGATGCACTGTCCATTGTTTCCAGGTTTAGGGGAGCATGGGAGTGCAGCCAATCATTATGTCCCAGCACTCACACATGACCAAGGGAGTGACGTCACCTCTTCCATGGGTTGTCACCACTGATCTCAGAGCCAGCTGCAATCTTATAGATTCCAAAAGTTAAAGGGACACGGTCAGCTTGCTCATGCAGAGACCCCCTCCTGTTCCCCCCCCCCCCCCCCCCTTCCGTATACGCAATTTGCCTGCCCTCCTATCCTGCCCTTTCCTCCATTGTGGCTGGATGCACTGTCAATTGTTTCCAGGTTTAGGGGAGCATGGGAGTGCAGCCAATCATTAGGTCCCAGTACTCACACATGACCAAGGGAGTGACGTCACCTCTTCCATGGGTTGTCACCACTAATCTCAGCGCCACTCACATTCATACATACACATATTAGGGCCAATTTAGACGAGCCAATTCACCTACCAGCATGTCTTTGGAGTGTGGGAGGAAGCCAGAGTACCTGGAGGAAACCCACAGAGACACAGGGAGAACATGCAAACTCTAGGCAGGTGATGCCATGGTTAGGATTTGAACCAATGACCCGAGTACTGCAAGGTGGAAGTGCCAACCACTTAGCCACTGTGCTACCCATAGACATTTGATAAACTGAAACAAAGACTGGTGATGCAAATAGAGCCCCGCACAGGTGGCCCAATACATTATAGTATAAGAGCAAAGGGTAAAGCGTATGTAAAGGTACAATAATATTCCCATTCAATCCAAAAGGCAAGCGAGGAGGGCTCACAGCCATGGCCGGACCTATACCAGGATGAGTATCCACAAGAGAGGTGCGTTTAATAGTCCAGCCACGGCTGCCATACCCCATCAAATTTCATTGGGCAATTCCTATTAATACACGTCGGTTTGTACATAGGAAGAACATCATTGACAGCTTTTTCACAGGAGTCTATGGGGGGGGGGGGGGGGGAGATGCATTCCAATGAAGTATCATTTCTTTTTTGGCATAGTATAATGAGAGATCAATAGCTTAGTGTACCGGGGCCATTCTGAATACCAAGCAATGCCAAAACTGGCGAGGCTGGCAAGGTCAGCTGTAGGCAGGGGTGTATTTACAAGGCATTTGCCTAGGGCGGCATTTTTCTGGGGGGGCAGCAGCATCGTTCAGTGCTGGGGGGGGCAGCACAGCCCCCCCAAAGGAGGGGATGGAAGGAGGGACACATGCAGCATGGGGACCAGGTGGGATCTGAGAGAGGCTGCGGGCTGCTTTATGGCATATGCAGAGGATGACTTGTTCCCTGGGATGTCCGGAGCTGTGAAGGTGAGTGTCTTCTCTCTCGCAGGGTCGGGGGGGGTGTTGCCAGTGTATGGGAGCAGTGGTAGTGGAAGGCTCTCTCGGGTGGGACGCTGGGGGGTGTTGATGGTCAATGCCAGGCTCTCTTTGTGGGGGAGGGGGGTGTTGGTCGGTGTCTGGGTCTCTCCGTGGGCAATTTTTGTGTTGCCTAGGGCAGCCCAAAACCTAAATACACCACTGGCTGTAGGCGATGGTTTACAAACTCAAACATCAACGCCCAAAACCTGGACACCATTGGACAATCCCAGAACATATGGTAGTAAGTTCCCTCAGACCTGTGACATTGAGGACAGTGTGGGGACCTCAGGGGATAGATCCTATGCCGCTTTTGTGGCGTATAATACGGTCTGTGTAGGAAATTCGTTTGGATCAGTTTATCGCTAGAAGAGATCACTAATCTCAAACTTTCCTCCAAACAGTCCTTATCTAGGTAAGTGATATTTGCTTTCCAGGTCTCCATTTTGGGGGAGTCCGCACAGAGTAAAGCTGAATAGTGGGAGGAGGGTGGTTTGGAGAGGGAGTCCTGGGCCAGGAGATCCTCAATAGGGTCAGTAGTCAAACGGGGACACTGGAAACTGGGCTCTAACTTCATGTCCTACTAGCTGAATTGTCAAGCTGGTGGCCCTCCAGCTGTTGCCAAACTACAAGTCCCATGTGGCATTGCAAGACTGACAGTCACAAGCATGACTCCCAAAGGTAGAGGCATGATGGGACTTGTAGTTTCGCAACAGCTGGAGGGCCGCCAGTTTGACACCCCTTGTCTAGGAAGTCTGAATTTATGCTGTAGGTCTCTAAAGGAAATTAGGGATCCTGAGGCAAAGATGTCTTAATACCAAATCGGGCCCAAAGGTCAGGGTCAGGCAGCAGTCTAAAGTGAGGGAGTGTGTGGGATTCCCCCAGAGTGGATGATATGGGGACCAGTGCTGTAGGAAACCTTTCCAGACCCTAAGAGTCGTCCTAGTAGGGTGTGGCAGGTCATCCTGAGCCTTAGGACCCTGATAAACTGGGTTGCCCAGCTCCCGCAGTGAGCCCAGGAGAACCCAACCAAAAATCTCTTACTGTGGTTGTAAAGGTTTACATTTTTTTCTTACCTGAATGCATTATCTGCATTAAGGTGAAAATCCTTCTGTGTCTGCCCCTCCAGCCCCCATCATAGTAACCTGAGCCCCATCACGACCCAGCACTGTGCGTGAGAGCTGCGGCTCTCCTGGCTCTGTGCCTCCTCACTGGGCAGATCGATAGCATTGGGAGCCATTTAAGTGTCCACTTAAAGGGAGAGATCCATCCAACCAGGGATCATCCGAGGATATCGATTGCTCTATGACTCCTTGAGGGTCGAATTTGTGAGGTGAGCGCACACTAGAAGGTGATGGATAAAATTGGCAGCAATAATATGAGAACGCAACAAAAAGTGGGAATATAAAAAAGCTGAAGAATTGAAAAACCTGGATTTTTTATATTATATTTTTTTTGTGCTATAAATATTTTTTTTTTCTCACTAATTTCTTCACTTTTTGGGATTTGTTTATTTATTTATATCAATTGATATATGTTACGGTTTTATAATTGGTCACTTGGATTTTATATTTACTCTGGAATGTATTTTCACCTTTAACCACCTTCCGCTGCCCTATAGTGCAATGACAGGCGCAAGGTGGTTCTCTCGTTCTGATAGGACGTCATATGACGTCCTACCATTCTCACTGCGCATGCGCGGCTCAGGGAGCATGTAGCGTGGCGATCACCAGTGCGCTGTGTCCCTCGGACACAGCGGATCACGGAAAGAGCCGAAGATGTTGGCTCGGTCATGTGATCACCTGTGTCCAATCACAGCTGATCACATGTAAACACGGAAATGCCGGTTATCGGCATTTCTCTCCTCACGAGCTGTCACGCTGACAGAGGAGAGCTGGTAATCGGCTTTCCGCGGAGGGGACATGTACACTGATCATCAGGGCACTGATGATCAGTGTGGCCCCAGAAGTGCCACCTGTCAGTGCTCATCAGTGCCATGTGCCAGTGCCCATCAGTGCCACATCAATGCCCATCTGAGCTGCTTTTCAATGTCACCCATCAGTGCCAGTCAGTGCTGCCAATCAGTGCCACCTATCAGTGCCAGTCAGTGCCATATATCAGTGTCATGTATCAGTGCTGCCTTTCAGTGCCCATCAGTGATGCCTGTCAATGCCCATCAGTGCAACCTACCAGTGCCTCCTCATCAGTGCCACCTATCAGTGTCCATCATTGCAGCTTATCAGTGCCTATCACTGCAGCCTCATTAGCGCACATCAGTGAAGGAGAAAAATCACTTATTTACAAAATTGTATAACAAAAACTAAGAAAAAATATTTTTTTTAAAAAAAATTTCAGTGTTTTTTGGTTTGTTTAAGAAAAAATAAATATCCCAGAGGTGATTAAATACCACCAAAAGAAAGCTCTATCTGTCTCAAAAAAATGATAAAAATTTTATATGGGTACAATGTTGCATGACCGCGCAATTGTCATTCAAAGTGTGACAGCGCTGAAAGCTGGAAATTGGCCTGGGCAGGAAGGGGGTATAAGTGCCCTGTAGGCAGGAAGGGGGTAGAAGTGCCCTGTAGGCAGGAAGGGGGTAGAAGTGCCCTGTAGTCAGGAAGGGGGTATAAGTGCCCTGTAGGCAGGAAGGGGGTAGAAGTGCCCTGTAGGCAGGATGGGGGTAGAAGTGCCCTTTAGGCAGGAAGGGGGTAGAAGTGCCCTGTAGGCAGGAAGGGGGTAGAAGTGCCCTGTAGGCAGGAAGGGGGTAGAAGTGTCCTGTAGGCAGGAAGGGGATAGAAGTGCCCTGTAGGCAGGATGGGGGTAGAAGTGCCCTGTAGGCAGGAAGGGGGTAGAAGTGCCCTGTAGGCAGGATGGGGGTAGAAGTGCCCTGTAGGCAGGAAGGGGGTAGAAGTGCCCTGTAGGCAGGATGGGGGTAGAAGTGCCCTGTAGGCAGGAAGGGGGTAGAAGTGCCCTGTAGGCAGGAAGGGGGTAGAAGTGCCCGGTGGGCAGGAAGGGGGTAGAAGTGCCCTGTAGGCAGGAAGGGGGTAGAAGTGCCAGGTAGGCAGGAAGGGGGGTAGAAGTGCCCTGTAGGCAGGAAGGGGGTAGAAGTGTCCTGTAGGCAGGAAGGGGGTATAAGTGCCCTGTAGGCAGGAAGGGGGTAGAAGTGCCCTGTAGGCAGGATGGGGGTAGAAGTGCCCTTTAGGCAGGAAGGGGGTAGAAGTGCCCTGTAGGCAGGAAGGGGGTAGAAGTGCCCTGTAGGCAGGAAGGGGGTAGAAGTGTCCTGTAGGCAGGAAGGGGATAGAAGTGCCTGTAGCAGGATGGGGTAGAAGTGCCCTGTAGGCAGGAAGGGGGTAGAAGTGCCCTGTAGGCAGGATGGGGGTAGAAGTGCCCTGTAGGCAGGAAGGGGGTAGAAGTGCCCTGTAGGCAGGATGGGGGTAGAAGTGCCCTGTAGGCAGGAAGGGGGTAGAAGTGCCCTGTAGGCAGGAAGGGGGGTAGAAGTGCCCGGTGGGCAGGAAGGGGGTAGAAGTGCCCTGTAGGCAGGAAGGGGGTAGAAGTGCCCAGGTAGGCAGGAGGGGGTAGAAGTGCCCTGTAGGCAGGAAGGGGGTAGAAGTGTCCTGTAGGCAGGAAGGGGGTAGAAGTGCCCTGTAGGCAGGAAGGGGGTAGAAGTGGCCTGTAGGCAGGATGGGGGTAGAAGTGCCCTGTAGGCAGGATGGGGGTAGAAGTGCCCTGTAGGCAGGAAGGGGGGTAGAAGTGCCCTGTAGGCAGGAGGGGGGGGTAGAAGTGCCCGGTAGGCAGGAAGGGGGTAGAAGTGCCCTGTAGGCAAGGGGTTAATTAAGGTAATAAGGATACAGAAGGTTTATTAATATTCTTTCACTTTCATATTATTTATACTATGATTTGACAATATGGTATTTTAGTATTTACTGCGCTACACCATTTGTTCAAAATAAGTTTTTCATCTCAATTCCTTCGGGTGTTATGCAGTCCATAGACGGGGTCGAAAATTTGTCCGATTTAAAAAAAAAAAAAACGAAAAATCAGTTGTTCGATCGGCCGATGTTAGCACCAACGTTAAAAAAAATTGGCCGATTTCCGTCCCGTCTATGGCCGGCATTAACCCCATAACTTCTGTCCCTTGCAGAGACAGGAGCACACCATACAATGAAGAAGAAGAAGATTACAATATTTTTATTCGGATACAAATGGATACATTTGTTGCAACCACAAGACTTTTTTTATATAAAATATAATAGCGGACTGGAATTCTTCTTCTTGCAGGTCATGGCTCATGCACAGATTTTTTATTGGTAAAACGATCGGACGATTTGCCCATCATTGCCGGGAAAATCGGCCTCAAATCTTCAAACATGAGAAAAAAAATGTGCAAAAACCCCGAAAAACAGCCAACCAATTAATCCACTAACGGTGCGAAAACCAGCCAATTTTTTTTTTGGATGAAAAATCAGCCGATTTTACGATACGTCTATGGCCGGCATTAGCAGCTACTTCATCCCTTGTGAGGATATTTGGCAGCGCAGGACTCCACCCCCATTTAATTGATTCATTGGCTCCGACTGCTGTCAATCAAACTCTGTGACCAGGGTGCTCGGCCGTGCCCCGTTCTCTGCGTCTATGGACACTGGAGCGAGCCCATAGGAAGCTGTATCCTGAAGAGGAGCCAGGAGGGCCCTGAGAAGAGGAGAGTTGGGGGCTGCTCTGTGCAAAACCATTAACGCAGAGCAGGAAAGTAGAACATGTTTATTATTTTAATTTTTTTTTTCTTTTTTTTTTTAAAAATCAAAGTTTTTGAAGCACTTTAAAGCGGAGTTATGCTCTGACCTTGGTGGATGCTGTGTGTTCCCTCTGCCATTCATATCCCAATCATAATGAAAGCTTGTTACAATAAAGATTGCACAAACCGTAGTCAATCCCGCTCTTATCTATCACAAAACTGCATTCCCATTCATGTCACAAATACTGTACAGAACAATATAGCATTTCAAGGCTGAGCTGGAAGTCTATCTCAATTTCTGCTGTAACAAGAAGACTGAAGGCCACTTTCTTTCTATATTTCTTGCTTCGGGAGCTGTACTGTCTTGTTTTTAGCCTCTCGTTTTTTTATGTTTCTTTTCTTTGTTGTAAGAAACTTAAAAAAACTTGAACAACCATGTTTTTCTGAATGTAGAATAAAGCCTGTAGGATGGAGGAGAGGGAAGGGGGGTTTGCTTTTGAAGGTCTAACAGTTTTAACCCTGATAAAGGGTATTGTTCCCGGAGGTGGACAACTGAAAGAGCAAACTCCTGTTAAAGTGGTTGTAAATCCTCAGATATGAAATGAGAACAAAGCATATCCCTCTACTTGTCTCATTCCAGAGCACTGAGTGTCATTTCTGTCTGCTGCCTCGTTCTTCTGCGATCAGCATCAGAATGAATCACGTCTGATAAATTTTCCTGACACCAAGAGATAAACACAGGTGACGGGGAGGGACCTCCAGCACACAGCCTGTGATTGACAGCCTCAACTCTGTTTCTGAGAGCTGTGTGAAGGGGGGGGGGGTTTGGGGTCTCTCCAATAAGCTCTCAGAGCTCTTCTCACTGAGCTCTGCAGAGTGTAATTTCAGCTCTCCATTCCCTGCTTTTCAGAGCTGAGAGATCCTGTGTATATTCAGCAAATTCAATGAACGTAGAGAGGAGAGGGTTTCAGACAAACAGGTACAACTTATGTAGGAGGATTTGTTTCATCTCTGTGTATCACCTGAGGCCAGTCATTGCACTGGGTATATGTAAGGATTTACAAACACTTTTTGAAGGGTACCGTCACCCTCCGCACCCATTTTCCTGCATTCTACCACTCTTCTCTAATAATTGCTTATTTTTAAAAAATTTTTGTATTTGAATACTTTTTTGGGGCATTTCCTGGATTTTCGCCCTTTTGCCTGCAGCCTCCTGGGATACCTATGTCATGCAGACCAGGAGGGTACTCTACAGCATATAGAGGATGTCCTATATACAGTGTACAGGATGCTCTATACATAAGATGACTATTTAAAGTGCATGTTGTGTAAAAAGTTTTATTTACAATGTATGTATTGTTTACTATGTACATGGGTAAGATGTATTATATGAAATGCACAGAGGATAGGGGTGCTATATACAGTTTGTATTGTATACAATGTATGTGGTATAGGATGGACAGTATACAATGTATAGGATGGACAGTATACAATGTGTGGGATGGACAGTATACAATGTATAGGATGGACAGTATACAATGTATAGGATGGACAGTATACAATGTATAGGATGGACAGTATACAATGTATGGGGTATAGGATGGACAGTATACAATGTATAGGATGGACAGTATACAATGTGTATGGGGATGGACAGTATACAATGTATAGGATGGACAGTATACAATGTATAGGATGGACAGTATACAATGTTATAGGATGGACAGTATACCAATGATATGGGATGGGACAGTATACAATGTATGGACAGTATACAATGGGATGGACAGTATACAATGTATGGGATGGACAGTATATACAATGTATGGGATGGACAGTATACAATGTATGGGATGGACAGTATACAATGTATAGGGATGGACAGTATACAATGTATAGGATGAACAGTATACAATGTATGGGATGGACTGTATACAATGTATAGGATGGACAGTATACAATGTATGGGATGGACAGTATACAATGTTTAGGGATGGACAGTATACAATGTATGGGGTATAGTTATGGATGGACAGTATACAATGTATAGGATTGGACAGTATACATGTACAATGTATAGGATGGACAGTATACAATGTATGGGATGGACAGTATACAATGTATGGGATGGACTGTATACAATGTATAGGATGGACAGTATACAATGTATGGGATGGACAGTATACAATGTATGGGGATGGACTGTATACAATGTATAGGATGGACAGTATACAATGTATGGGATGGACAGTATACAATGTATAGGATGGACAGTATACAATGTATGGGATGGACAGTATACAATGTATAGGATGGACAGTATACAATGTATAGGATGGACAGTATACAATGTATTTGTATAGGATGGACAGTATGCAATGTATAGGATGGACAGTATACAATGTATAGGATGGACAGTATATACAATGTAT